ATTGTTGAATCAATAAATTGATGACCTTTTATATCTGACAAAAAATTGATCCAATGGAAATTTCAAAGTTAAAAGTATCCATTTTAGTGAAATAAGTTATATCTGTTTTTTTGAAATAAACCATCACAAGTCCTGCTAACTTAAACTTAATTACACTTAAATTACGTATAAAGACCAATTAGATTTTTTAGGCTTACTTCTGAAATTCGTTAACTTTGAATCTCTCACCATGTCTTTTTCATAATTCAATCTTATAATTCGTCATTTCTTATAATCAATAGCTAAAGAGAAGATAATTTGTACGCTCATACGTCCACAGTTATATCCACTCTTATTTAATATCTCTGTTTTATATAATTACTTACCAGTAGATATAATCAAAAAAACGTTAATTTTATCACCGGGTACGCCGTTAAATTTTTCGATTCGGAATTTTAAAATAGAACGTAGGGTTTTTCATATTTTCGAAATAAGTTAAATCTGAAACTCTCAATAGATGCACTCAAAGATATTACAAATCAAAATCTCAAAGTGGTCATTTGTGGATTGAATAATAAGATTTAACGTATTTCGATTGGAAACAATAACTAAGGTTCGAATTTTCTGTTATACAAATATTAAAGAAATATCTTAACCACACCACCGAAAAGAAATGTTTTGTAGTGCAGTTAATGACATATATAGTTACGAACAAACATTTGTTACAAACAACATTGAAGATTACGTAGTATAATATTGAAGAAAAATAAATAATAAATAAATCTACTGCGTGTTGCAGTTTCATGTACGTATTACATTCGTACGTCCATAGTTTCAATTGAATTTCATTCACGGAAAACATGTTGTTCCGGCAAGAAATTCTAAAATGAATTTTTAAAGTTTAACTAAGTGTTACACGGTAAAAAAATTTTATTGCTGAATACTTTGTCGAAAATGTATATAAACTTCAACTTTTATCTAATAAAGTTGAGTCAGTGGCATCTTCTCTTTCTAAACTATAGATAATGCTAAGTCTTGGACTGTACCACATATTTGTGTTTTAAAATCAATATTTCCTTTCAATATCAAATGTATTAAAATACGTGATCAAACAAAAATATATGGAAGTTGTCCTATTAAAATAGTTGCATAATACGTAAAAAAGTATTATATCCTTTTTCAAAAAATAAGATAAAATGAATTATAAACTAAATTATCAAATGCCTGTTGATATATATGATGCTAATGAAATAGATAATTCTATTAAGATGGGCGATGCTGATGAGGATTATTGCTATCAAAATAAAGTTGGAGTTGAAAAGGGTGAACATATGGATTATCAAAAATTCGTTGATATGGATCATGCTCCTGGAATCAATAATGTTGGTTGTTGTTATGAAAATGGAATTGAGGTCAATAAGGATGAACATAAGACATTTATTGATTATCAAAAATCAGCTGAGGTGGGCAATATTAAGGACATATATAATGTTGGTTATTGTTATCAATATGGAATTGGTGTTGAAAAAAATGAACATAAGGCATTCGTTTACTATCAAAAATCTGCAGAAATGGGTTGTGCTCTTGCAATGTCGCAAATTGGTTATTGTTATCAAAATGGAATTGGTGTTGAAAAGAATAAATATAAATCATTCATTTATTGTCAAAAATCGGCAGAAATGGGTGATGCTAGTGGTGCATATAATGTTGGCTATTGCTATCAGCATGGAATTGGTGTTGGAAAGGATGAACGTATGGCATTCATTTATTATCAGAAATCTGCCGAGATGGGTAATTCTGAAGGGATGTTTCAAGTTGGATATTGTTATAGATATGGAATTGGAGTTGGAAAAGATGAACATACAGCATTCATATATTATCAAAAATCTGCTGATATTGGTCATGTTAATGCAGTGTACATGGTTGGTAATTGTTATCGAAAAGGAAGTGGTGTTGAAAAGAATGAACATAAAGCATTCCTTTATTATCAAAAATCTGCTGATATGGGTAATGCTAGCGGAACATATAATGTTGGTTATTATTATCAGTATGGAATTGCAGTTGAAAAGGATGAAAGCAAGGCATTTGTTTATTATCAGAAATCTGCTAATATGGGTAATGCTAAGGGAGCATATAGTATTGGTTACTGTTATCAAAATAGTATTGGAATTGTAAAAGATGAACATAAAGCATTCATTTACTATCAAAAATCTGCAGAATTGGGGTACGCTGATGGTGCATATAATGTTGGTGATTGTTATTTTAATGGAATCGGAATTGAAAAAGATAAACATAAGGCATTTGTTTATTATCAAAAATCTGCAGCGATGGGAAATGTCAATGGAATGTATATTCTTGGATATTGTTATAGGAATGGAATTGGAGTTGAAAAGGACGAATCTACGGCATTCATTTATTATAAAAAATCTGCAGAGATGGGTAACGTTAATGGAACCTTTAATGTCGGATATTTTTATGAAAAAGGAATTGATGTTGAAAAGGATGAACATATGGCATTTGTTTATTATAAAAGATCGGCAGAGATGGGGTGCGCAACTGGAACATCTAATGTAGGATATTGTTATCAAGAAGGAATTGGCGTCTCTGTAGATAAACGTAAGGCATTCTCTTATTATCAAAAGTCAGCGAATATGGGTGACGCTACTGGAATGTTCAATTTTGGATATTTTTATGAAAAAGGAATCGAAGTTAAAAAGAATGATCATATGGCATTTATTTGTTATCAAAAATCTGCTGATATGGGTGACGATATTGGAGCATACTATACTGGTCATCATTATCGACTTGGAATTGGAGTTAATAAAGATGAAAATAAAGCATTTGTTTATTATCAAAAATCTGCTAAGTTAGGAAATACCGATGGGTTATTTAATCTTGGTTATTGCTATCAAAACGGAATTGGAGTTGAAAAAGATGAAAATGAAGCATTTGTTTGTTATCAAAAATCTGCTGAGTTTGGAAATGCCGATGGGTCATTTAATCTCGGTTATTGCTATCAAAACGGAATTGGAGTTGAAAAAGATGGAAATAAAACATTTGTTTATTATCAAAAATCTGCTAATTTAGGAAATGCCGATGGATTATTTAATATCGGTTATTGTTATCAAAACGGAATTGGAGTTGAAAAAGATGAAAATAAAGCATTTGTTTATTATCATAAATCCGCAGATTTAAAAAATGCCGATGGGTTACTTTATCTCTGCTATTGTTATAAACATGGAATTGGAACCAAAAAAAATGAAAATATTTATCAAAAATCTGTAGATAGGTTACTTTATCAAAATCCGCAGAGTTAGAAAATGCAGATTGTTACACCGTCTCAGCAACACGGAATTGGAGTTAAAAGAGATGAAAATAAGGCATTCAAGTATTATCTTAGTTCTGCTAAACTAGGAAACAATAAAGGACTACATGTAATCCAAAAAAATATAATTTATCATTAATAGCTTATAATGAATTTAAGGATATTGAAGAAATTGGAAAGGGCGGATTCTCAACGGTTTATAAAGCTCGATGGAATTATCAAAACCGACGGAAACATATCGCTCTCAAATTAATTCATAATAAAGAATTTATACATGAGGTAATCATAGAAGTTATTTATTAATTTGATAATTATATTTATTAATTAAATTTTATTTAGATGAAGGCATATTGCGATATTGGTTTTAAAAATGCGTCATTTATAAAATTCTTTGGATTATCATATAACAACAACGCTGAAAATTATGTTCTTGTATTAGAATATGCTAATAATAGTTCTTTATATAGTAATCTTAATATTATTGCACAAATGAAATGGGAAGAAAAAATAGAAATTTTATCTTCAATTGTTTCTAATCTTGAAGCAATTCATTCTAAAGGATTTATTCATCGAGATCTTCATAGTAACAATATCTTACAAGATGATTCACATAATGCGTATATTACTGATTTAGGACTAACAATATCAACAATATCAACAATATCAACAAGCAAAAAGCAAGATGAAATTTATGGTGTCATGCCGTATGTTGCTCCAGAAGTTTTACGTGGAAAACCATTTGCACAACCATCAAATATCTACAGTTTTGGCGGAAATAACAACCGGAAAAAGACCGTTTGATGATGAACCATTGGATATTGGACTCTCGTTACGGATTTGTCGAGGAGAACGACCGAGGTGTGCTTTAGGGACTCCTGAACATTATATAAAATCAGCAGAACGATGCACGAATTCTGATTCTAAAAAACCTACCGCAAATGAAATTAAGATTGAAACCGAAGATTGGCTTAAAAAGATTGAAAGTCCGAAATAAAGAAACAATTCTTGGAGTATGACAAGAACAAACCAGAACAGATCGAATCAAAATACCCTCAAAACACGTACACTTCAAGGCTTATCAATACACGAGAGATCATACAAAGATTAACAAGTATCAGTATGATCAGTAATCCTATTGATGAGATTGAAATTCCTGTGTAAAATTATGAATTATATAAAATGTTTAAAACTTTTAAACATTTTATAATCACAATTAATTTTTGAATAGATATCTATTCAAAAATTAATTGTGATTATATATAAAATTTTTTAAAAATTTTAATGCGCGTGATTATGGATGTTCTCAAGCAATTTCCTCAATGATTGGATTTAGGGATGTTAACGGTGTTTCTCACTCTGTTGATATGGTCCCCTGTTTAATGGTCATATCACAGGATTACTGCGCTAAATCCCGCATTTGTCGCAAAAAATTATTTAACCAGTATACTAAAAACCATCCAAGTGACAAGAATTCATTTGCTTACTACATATTTGCACCAAGTATAATGCTACCTCCAATTATAAATAGATCTAGACACGATAGACAATATTCATATATAAAGAAATATAATTAGAACATGAGAAGCAGTATGTGAAAATTAGATATTGTTACGGTTCGTTGGGAGAGAATTTCTCGACAATTTATTAAATACAATTTGTAAAAAATCGCAAACTTTCCATATACAAATAAATATAACTAATTTTTTTGCACAATAAAAGTTTCTAATTCTTCGACAATAAAGTTATTAAAATCGAAAATATTATTCTCATAGTAACTTTGTGAGCAAGACCCGTTTTGACCATTTAATACTAGATCAGCATTTCCAAAGTTCATCCAAGATCCGCCATAACTATAGGTTGCATACGAGGGATTTTTCACTCGACTAAGTATAGGTGTATTGGAACCTTTTCCATCTCCAAAACAAAAGATAAAACTATAAAATTTTATTATTTGCAGGAAAATTATTATATAAAATATATACAATTCATAAATGATATAACAGCAACTCACCTATCATGAGTTGTTTCCCACTGCGGATTATAAGTATTATGCCCGCCATAATAACCGTTATTATAATAACTATTATTATAATTATTATTATTTCTTAAGCCTAGAGGATTGTATCCACCAATTATTTTCTTTGAATCCTTAATCTTAATTAACCCAAGAATTTCATTACTACAATTACTCGCAATAAATTTATTGTAATCAAACCCATCGCGCGTTGCTCGATAGGTAAGTGTAAATTGGTAAAAAGGCTTTCTAGCAAAAGTGGTTCTTTTTTCGATCCAATTGATAATGACAGCAGCTTTGTCTCTTTCGATTATAACAGAATCAATACTAATAAATCCACAACGTGAAGGCAGCTTCGAAACTTTAGGAATTATATTAGCCATGAGATAAGCCACTAAATCTTCATAAATATTTACCGGTATCGCTTTTTTATAGGGCCTAACGTGATAATAAAATTCTTCACAGGATATCTCATGAAATCGGATATACGGTATAAATGGATCCAGAGATTTCTTTAATGATGAAAAATCATTATCTCTCCACTTAGTGACATCCATTTTATAAGATTTCCCTTTAGAAGTAGCGGATTGAGTTGTTCCCCATTTCACCAAATATTTCCAGATATCAATTTCTTCAATATCCATATCATCTCTCTTAACAAGACTTAAAAGGATATCTTTATCCAATGTCGGAAATTCCTTTAATTCAAAAAATGGTTTAGGATCTTTACAGATTATTTTCATGATATAATCTTGGATTTCCTTGCAACTTTGGAGCTTCAAGACAGTATGCAAAGCGTAAATAAAATTCTTTTGTAACCAGGAAGCTTCTTGTTTAATTATCTAAATTGATTTATAATTTAATTTTTCCCATTTTAAAAAGACGCACGAACTTTAGACATGCTTAAGCCTTACATGCTTTTGGACATGATCAACCAATTTATCAAGCATTAATTCGTCACATGCAACAAGAAGAGCGAGAATGTCAGAGCTTGATTGATTGGTTAGGTCAAGAATTCCTATATAAATATAGCTTAAAATTAAGAAAGTAAGCAATTAAAAAATTAATGCAATTTATCCCATTAAATAATAAGTAATCCCAGTTTAGCGCAAATATAAGTAATTTTATATACCGAAGGATTAGAAGAAATACAGCTGGGGAGATATTTGGTTTTTTAAAGATGGTAACACCACTATTTCGATTTGCCCACTTATTAGATAAAGCAACTTTAAAATAGGGTGATCTAGCACGTAAAACATTTGAATGCGCGTTGAATTCTTTAACATCTGGTTCTTCTCCAGCGTGAATAACAACGTCATAATCGTCAGATTCGTCAAGAAGTTGAGAAAAATCTTTTGAAAGATCTTCAAAGAAATTAACGGACATTATTATCGCTTAGAGTGATGTAAGAAAGAAAGATAATTTACAGTATATGCAATTACATTTTATGGAAATAAAATTAGACACCAAATCAAATATTCAAATTGGTAATTATTATTGAAGATCAACTGTAAAATACCAGTATTTAACCTGAATTGATTTCACTTTGTTGACTATCCCGTGAATGTATAACTGATCAAAAATTAAATTATCTTTAAATATATTGTCATTGAATGAAAGAACAATGTTGACAATAGTGCACAAGAAATTTAAGCGTAATTTTATTTATTCGGAAAAATTATTTAGACAAATTCTAATGGCATCTATCGATATATCAAAACCTTTTGCGCATATCTGCTGATTTATTGAATTGGGCCTTATAATATGTCCTTAAAATATGGGTCTAATGTATCATTTTTAACCGAGCATTCTGTTTGTCTTAATGACTATGAATTTATTACTGTTACATATAGCATTATACCAGTTTGTTTGCATAATGTCAATATCAACTATAGGAGCTGCTGCACAGAGTATCATATGCCAGTGATGTACAGTACGTACTTACGTACGTACTTCAATCTGCAGTTTACGGTAATTGTATTTTTTACGATGCTTACGCCCAAAATAATTTAGTAATATTGTGTATTACGTGTGCATTATTGTTTATCGATGACTTAAGTCATGTCTTTAGTTCTACATATAAAGATATTGGCTTTCTCACTTAGGTAAAAGAGGTATGATAGAATTCTCACATAGAAAGTTTATATTTTAGGCATCAAATTTTTGTCTAGCGCTTTATATAAATTACGTACTTACTTCAACAAAGCCAATATTGTGAACTGTTTACTTGCTGACTTCATGATTTATACCAGATAGCATTTTAGAAATCTCTTATATCAAGCAAAATCGGATCTTGCTCTGAACTATATACTATTAGAATTTTCATTTCTTTCTATATAACAAAACTACATATTTTTACTTAGATGTTAGAATATAGTGTCATAGTAAAATTTTGTTGACAACAACATAATAAAATTCAATATATATATTTATTTAAATTCTACAGATTTATAATTTTTTTAAAAAAGTTATTAAATTTTATTACAGTATTGTTGCTATACGATTTATTGACCAATCAAAATCAATTATATAAAATCGACCAATCATAATTGATTATGTAATCAGATTTGGCACTTTTGAAAGATTTTGTCTGATACTATATTAAAAAAACCTTAATGTAAATAATTTACCGTAAAACGCCGTATAAGGTACCCCCCTGGATTTGTACCCCCTTGATTTGTACCGGGTACGTTTCAAGGTCATTGGATGCGGTATTTTGTAAGATACCCGGGTACAAATCAATAACCATGATTTTTCGGATTTTCGTTTAAATTATTCCCTTCACGGGTTTCAAATATCACAAAAACGCTTTTTTTTCATATGTACCTATACGTTCTTCATAACAGATTCCATGATTTTTGGAAAGGCGGGTTTGCACCTGTGTATACTGCAAATTGAAAGTACAAATCATAGGTGCGCTTAAATTATTTTGTAAATTAAAAGAAACTTGTAAAAAAAAATATTTGATAAGTCAAGTTTTATAATTTAGTCTTGTTACTATTCAATTATTAATACATATTTATAATTTTTTTCAAAACAGATGCCCTTGGGCACTTATATTTATAATTTTAAAGTTAACCACATTCAAATATTGGATCTAAAAACCTCATATTATCGCAATATAAGAGGTCGAGATGGTAAGTTTATTTAAACTTTAAATTTGCGCGATTACAAATAATTAAACCCATTGATTCATGAAATTGTCCATCTTGTTCTGATTATAATAATGTTCAAATTCTTCATGAGGCAAGGAATTTGGTTGGTTTTGCTGATATAAAAGATCTTGAAGAAGAAGGTGTTCTTGGAGCGAAAGATTTGGTTGGGATAAAAGGTTTTGAAAACCTTGTTGGGGTGGGAGGTCTCGGAAGCCTTGTTGGGGTAGGTCTTGTTGGGGTAGGTCTTGGAAGCCTTGTTGGGGTGAAAAATCTTGGAAGTCTTGTTGGAGGTTTTGTTGAGATGAAAGGTCTTGTTGTAATTCGGGATCTCATTAAAATAAAATATTTTAAAATAAGAAGTTTTGTTAAATTAAAGTTGTGAAACCAAGTTTTTACCATCAAAAATATATTCATCAACTTCATTTTCAATACGATCATAATCAAAAATTAAGTCGTCTTCTGAACCATTATTTGCAACTGAGATGCCGCAACACTTAAAAGAATTTTTAATTAGCTAAGTATCAATAGCATCCCATGCATACTTAATCCATTCTGCAATTATATTATACAGGGGACGTTTAATTCATCCAGATTCAGTTAATTCTCTTATTTCTTGTAATATCCATTCGTCATACATAGTTCTAATCTATTGATAAAAAGATGCATTAACATATATTAACTATAAAGAAAAAAAAAAATAGAAAAGAAACATCTTTGCTTTAAATGATTTGTTAATTGACACATCAAGTGGTTGAAGTTTCGACGTTAACCCCCCAGGAATAATTGCAATATTAGTGCTTTTGTCAGCAAGCTTATTTTTAATAAAAGGAACTAAATGACCCCAAAAAAGAATCCATTACTAAAAGTGACCGCGGATTCTCAGAACTTGGTGTATGATTTTGCCAAATCTTATCTATCCAAAAACTCATTTGCATTTCATTCATCCATCCACTTTCATTAGCTCTAATAACTACACCTGATGGAAACTCAAGCTGTGGAACATTCTTTAACTTAAAAATGATCATTGGAGGTAATTTTGTGCCATCCGCCAAACATGTAAGCACAACAGTAAAGCAAGATTTTTCATAACCACAAGTTTTAATACTAATGGTTTTATTTCTCTTGTCATCTATAGTTACATTACTTGGCATATCAAAAAAAAGAGGGTCTCATCCATATTGCCCATTAATTGTAACGGATAATCATATTGAATACAGCGATATTGAACAAAATTAAGAAATTCTTGCCATTGTGCTTCTAATTCTGATGGTAGTTTTTGCGCAACAGTTGTTTTACAATGGATACTAAAATTATGACATTGTAAAAAACCATCAAGCCACTTGTTACTCCACTTAAAATTATTGATATTAGGATGGTGAAGAATATATTTTGGAGATTTTGCTAATAATACAGCTTTATTTTGTACCATAATATGGCTAACTGGTTTTAATTTGTTATGTAAAGCTCGAACCCATCCAGCAAGTTCCTCTTCGAGTTTAGGATAATTTGGTCAAGCACCAACATTGAGATGTTTAATGTGAGGCTAGCTGACATTAGTGCTTCTCGTTTATTTTGCCAATCCCGAATTTGCTTCGGTTGAACTTGAAATTTATCTGCTGTTCCACGTACAGTAGCTCCGGGAATCCTTTCAAAATAAGAAATTACAAAAAGTTATAATAAGTTTTTATCAGTATAAAAAAAACAAAGTCTGTCTTATATCTTATATTTACATCTTATATCTTATATTTACATCTTATATCTTACATTTACATCTTATAAAAAAAAACATTTGAAAAAAACAACATTCGCGAAAAAAAAAAATCGCGAAAAAAAAAAATTAAAAAATTTTTGTGAAAAAATTTTTACAAAAAAAAAAAAAAAAAAAAAAAAAACGAATAGTAAAATAATGGTAATTATCATACAGTATTATAGAATCATAAAGGTAAATGTACCATATGTAAAAAAAAAAATTTAACTTATTATAAAATATAAAGTCATATTTGCAAGAAAACAGAAGAATGAAATATTGCTTTCACTTAATATACCGATATATGCTTGATAATATACCCCTTACAAGGTACCCCCCAAATAATATACCCTCCTCCATACAAGGTACCCGGGGGTACAAATCAAATTTTATCATGTGAATTGTAAGATACCCGGGTACCTTATATGGCGTTTTACGGTATTACTTTTCTATTCTTTCTCTTACGTGTTAAATTACCAGGACGTAAGTATAGAGATTATTCTTAAAAAGATCCACACATAACATCGGAGTCAATACAGTACACTAGTAGAGTTCTTCAATAATTATTACTTTTCTATTCTTTCTCTTACGCGTTAAATTACCAGGACGTAAGTATAGAGATTATTTTTAAAAAGATTTACACATAACATCGGAGTCAATACAGTACACTAGCAGAGTTCTTCACCAATTATTACTTTTCTATTCTTTCTCTTACGTGTTAAATTACCAGAAAGTAAGTATAGAGATTATTCTTAAAAAGATCTACACATAACATCGGAGTCAATATAGTACACTAGTAGAGTTTTTCATTAATGATTACTTTTCTATTCTTTCTCTTACTAGGACGTAAGTATAGAGATTATTCTTAAAAAGATCTACACATAACATCGGAGTCAATACAGTACACTGGTAGAGTTCTTCATTAATTATTACTTTTCTATTATTCTCTTACGTGTTAAATCACTAGCGAGTAAGTATAAAGTTTATTCCTAAAAAAGATATTCACATAACATCGGAGTCAATACAGTACACTATAGAGTTCTTCATTAATTATTACTTTTCTATTCTTTCTCTTACATGTCAAATTACCAGTTTGTAAGTATAGTTAAGATTTACACATAACATCGGAGTCACTAGTAGAGTTCTTCATTACTTATTACTTTTTTATTCTTTCTCTTACGTGTTAAATTATCAGAATGTAAGTAGAGATTATTCTTAAAAAGATCTACATATAATATCGGAGTCAATATAGTACACTAGTAGAGTTTTTTATTAATTATTCTTCATCTTACGTGTTAAATTACCAGGTTGTAAGTATAGAGATTATTCTTAAAAGGATCTACACATAATATCAAAGTCAATACAGTACACTAGTAAAGTTCTTCATTAATTATTACTTTTCTATTATTTTCTTACATGTTAAATCACCAGCGAGTAAGTATAAAGTTTATTCCTAAAAAGATACACATAACATCGGAGTCAATACAGTACACTAGCAGAGTTCTTCATTAATTTTTACTTTTCTATTCTTTCTCTTACGTGTTAAATTACCAGTTTGTAAGTATAGAGATTATTCTTAAAAAGACCTACACATAACATCGGAGTCAATACAGTACACTAGTAGAGTTCTTCATTAATTATTACTTTTCTATTCTTTCTCTTACGCGTTAAATCACCAGCAAGTAAGTATAAAGTTTATTCCTAAAAAGATCTACACGTAACATCAGAGTCAATACAGTACACTATAGAGTTCTTCATTAATTATTACTTTTCTATTCTTTCTCTTACGTGTCAAATTACCAGTTTGTAAGTATAGTTAAGATTTACACATAACATCGGAGTCGCTAGTAGAGTTCTTCATTACTTATTACTTTTTTATTCTTTCTCTTACGTGTTAAATTATCAGGATGTAAGTATGTAGATTATTCTTAAAATGATATACACATAACATCGGAGTACACTGGTAGAGTTCTTCATTAATTATTACTTTTCTATTCTTTCTCTTACGTGTTAAATTACCAGTTTGTAAGTATAGAGATTATTCTTAAAAAGATCTACACATAACATCGGAGTCAATACAGTACACTAGTAGAGTTCTTCATTAATTATTACTTTTCTATTCTTTCTCTTACGTGTTAAATTACCAGAAAGTAAGTATAGAGATTATTCTTAAAAAGATCTACATATAACATCGGAGTAAATACAGTACACTAGTAGAGTTCTTCATTAATTATTACTTTCTATTCTTCCTCTTACGTGTTAAATCACCAGCGAGTAAGTATAAAGTTTATTCCTAAAAAGATCTACACATAACATCGGAGTCAATACAGTACATTAGTGGAGTTCTTCATTAATTATTCTTTTCTACTCTTTCTCTTATGTATTAAATTAATTATATATTGATGTAAAAATCAATTAGGTCTCAAAGGAATATTGCTTTTGGAATATGCAAAAATTGTAAACAGTACAACACTCATTTTGCCTGGTGTAATACGTGTGATTCTGAAATAGCTGTTAAAGATGGATTGTCAAGTGGAGTTGACGACATTGATTGTTTTAAAGATTTTCAGCGTAAAGCTATGGCGCATTACGAAATGATCGAATGGATTCCATTTGACAAACTAGATAAAATTGAAAAAATTGGGGAAGGTGGTTTTGGATCGGTATTTTCAGCAATCTGGTTAGACGGCATACGAAATATTGAATATGAAAATGGAAGCTATATAAAGTCGCGTCGGAAATCATCTCGAGTTGCACTCAAGACTTTATCCAATTCTTCAACAAATTCTTTTGGTTTTTTGAAAGAAGTAAGTTAAAATAGTTAAAACATTTTGCAATAGATTTAAGTATTTAAAATATAAAATATATTAATATAATCATTCAATAAGTTTCAAAACCATATGCAGTGTAGATTGCGAGGTAGCATGCTAGAGATATATGATTTAACTAAAAATGAGATCGGTGATTACCTGATGGTATTTCAATTTGCTGTTAGTGGAAATCTCTGTGCATTTTTAAAAGAAAACTTTAAAGAACTTACATGGGAACGTAAATTGCAGCTACTTATCTTTATATCTTATGATTTGGCAATAATTCACAAAGCGAATTATACACATATTGATTTTCATAGTGGAAATATTTTGCAAAGTCAAATTAATGGTAGAACTTATATTTCGGATCTCGGTTTGTCTAAAAAAATTGAAGAACATTCCAAAACTGAAATGTCTGAGGGGAATGCTACGACTGAAAACATTATTGGAGTTATGCCTTATGTCGCACCAGAAGTTTTGTTAGGCAAAGTTATACGCCAGCAGTTGATATTTATGGATTAGGAGTTATTATGGCTGAGGTGTCAACTGGGCAGAGACCTTTTGATGGTTATGAATTTGATTTAACTCTTGCAATAAAGATTTGCAAAGGATCACGGCCAGGATTTGCACTCGGAACTCCCGATTGCTATATTGAATTGGCTAAAAAATGCATGGATAAAGATCCACAAAAGCGACCTACTGCAATTGATGTTGCTTTAAAACTTTATAATCAATGGAAATATATTGTAGGTCGTAAAAAAAATGTTAAACTTGATATAAAAAAGAAATTTTTGGCTGCTGATGAGACCATTAAAGTCTTGCCAA